ATTATGTGTGAGCAAAGTAATTAATTTTAAGCTATTTAAATTACTCATAGGGAAGGATTTAAGATAAGTTTTTATGTTTTTGGAATTTTGTTGAGAATTTTGAATACGAATTTTAAAATTATTCTAAAAATAAAGATGTTAAAAATAAGTGAAATTGTTACAGATACGTAATATAAAATTATGGTAAATGCATGTTAAAATTTATGAGTTATTGTGTGTTAAGTAAAGTATGATGAGGGTGTACTGGTTCCTTCAACAGAGGCCTGTAATTACCTCTGTACAGTTGTTCCCTTCACCCTCTTCAAGTAAGATAATGTTGGAGGCTCTCATTTTATGAGTGTTTGTAATTTTTTTATATTGTTGTTATTATTATATTCTTTTTATTATTGAATGTATTAGTGCAGTTCTCAAAGGCCAGTTACCTTAATTCAAGGAACGGAGGCCTTTTCAAGTAACTGCCTAGGCACCCTGGGCCACCAATACAGAGAACACACTGGTTAGCTCAAGAGGTACAGCCCTATTGATGGATATGTTTGCTTAGAAGTATTGCGAGGCTTCCAGTTTGGTAAAATCAGGAATTGCAATGAAAGATAATAACGGTGAAACCATATTTTCTGAAGCTTACTCCTATTATTATATGCTGTTAAAATATAATTTATCAGTAATAGAAATAAGTATCATAAATATTTATGTGCATTACATTTAATTATAAGTAATGATTGTGTAAAAGTTTATTTTGTGATATTCTGTAATAACAAGAACCTTCCCTGAAGAATTATGATTATGTGAACTCTCAACAAAAAGACTTTTGGACTGAAATGCTGAAAAATTCAATAGGACTCTAAAAATTAAAAATTTATTAAAAAAATTGATATTTATAAATTATACTTTACAGGACAAAAATTTTATGATTTATGTTTTTTTTTTTTACATTTGCTAGTGCTTTAACTATTTCTCTTTCAAAAGGCTTCTCTGTCGCTACACCTTTTTCTTTTTGAAGGGGGGAATATGTAAGATAAAATTATATGAATCAGAATAACTAAAAACATTAATTCTTCCTCTTTATAACTTCTCTGCATTGCGTCATTTCTAGATCACTCTATGGCCCGCGCAATTCTGATGAAGTAATAATTAAGAACTGAAACTGACCTTGTAAACCAAAACTTTTCTCTTCGCGTGCTTCCATCTTTCATAACTACGCACTTCAGCTTTTGCCCTCTGCTCTGCTAAGATGTAATTTCGCTGGCTTGCTTTTTATCTCAACAATATCAAAAATGTAAATCTTCTGTGGAAAGGCACGACTAGAGTGCCAAGTGATTGTGGCCACAAATATCAATTGGAAATAAAAATGGAATTAAAACTGCCTCGACTGCCAAGTTCTTTAAATACTACGCAATCAAAATTCTTCTTCAATATGGGTCTAATCACGCGTCTACAGTGTTCCGTCTTTTCCTTTGTGCTTTAATATGACATATATATATATAGATAAATAAATGGAAACCCTGTGACTGGCCGAAGCATGGGTTTGCTACGACTGAAGAAAAAAGTCTGCGTGTTATCGAAAGCAAAAAGAAAATGTATAAAAACCTGGTTCCATCAAAGCAAAGAAAGTTTTATTAGGGGCATAATGATTTCCATAGGAGTAACATACAATGGGAAATTAAAAATAATATTGAAGGAAAATGTTAAAACCAACTTAGTGTACTAGCAAGAGAAGTTTTTACGCCCGATATTCACCAAAAAAAAAAGTTCTATTTATTCTTTATTCCAATAACTTTGAAAGAGTGAAACTTCATCAAGATAAAGCAGGAAGTCATAATTCGAAAAATACAGCTGCTTTCTTTAAAATAAAATGAACACTGATATAGGTATTGCATATATATCTACGGACTCTTGAAAAGTCCTTGAAGTTTTATCTATAAACTATTGTGCCTTTTGGTCTCTTGAAAATATATCTGAGCCGAAACAAACCACGATTGGTGGACTCTGAAAAGTAATGCAAAAGGAATAGAAATCAGTATGTCTGGAAATTTTAAGAAAAACCCTTTCTATCATGGAAATCATATTAATTTTAATATGATAATTAAATTATGATAGATTAATAATTATAACTAAATTAAAAAAGATAATCCTTACATTTTAAACATTAATTAAATGTCCCGAAATCCTTCTAAACTCATGTAGACACTCTGTTTCGGTAAACAATGCTTATTCAACTGCAACAATATGTTATTGTCTAAATGTGCAATAATATGTCACGTTGATTGCTGCAAAATTATTATGAGCTTTGAGTATAATTTTCGGTTGTCCAATTTTACTCACAATTTAATTGACACCGTATCCAAGCTTAAATACGAAAAATAGAAGTTTATGGGAGTTTGATGTAAGAGATATCGTGGACAAAAAATCATAACACACATACAAAGAGAAAGATAAACATCATTGTAAAAATACCAAAAATCCCTAATTAGACTTTATTTACTGATAATTCGCTATCGAATTTTTGGACTGAAAATACTGCCTTCTTTACCTATGTATATAGATGGTGGAAGGTTAAAAAAATAACTAAGAGGTGGATCTTCTTTACATACATATTGATAGTTAGAATATGTCAACATTAAAAAAGTGAAAAAAGCGTTTTCTTTATATGCATTTGAAAAAATAGATATTAAAGGACGAAGAGAAGAGTTTTTATTACATTCACCTGGATGTTAAAAGATAAAGAGGCCTTTCTCCCCTCCCATCTTAATAGTTAAAGTAAGGTTAGGTTATTATTCTGATTGTAATAAGGCACAAGGGCTTCTGTTTAAGGGGAGGTATGCCTTCGTTGAGGACTTAACATCAATGACAGGAAAGTGCATTCATGTTACGCTATAGAAAATCCCGAAAACTCCCTTACAGTCAGCTCGTTCGTCGGCATTTGAACTTAAGTTAAACTATTAAGTGTTTAGCCCTATAACTGTTCACTGCTTGGCCCTGACTAGATAGAAATATCGTTTTCTTTATCTTTACCTGAACAGACTATAAAAGTCGAACAGACTTTTTTTCTTTTTACATGTTTCTTGACGACTATAATATCAACCTTGAAATAAGAGTAAATGGTTTTCTTTATTTAAACGTAAAATTTAAAAGAAGAGAGCTTTTTGTTTATTTATATGAAAAGTCCACAGTTATGAACATAAAAAGGTGGGGAGAGACGGTTTTTCCTTATATACGCAACTTGCCTATTAAAAGATGAACGGACGGGTTTGTTTGCATGTATTATTTTGAGTGAAAATCAAAGATTGAAAGTGATGATAATATATCACCTGCATTATAAAATTTTCGAATTCTTAAATTGAAGGAAATTTTGAAAGAATTCACTTCAAAAAAATGAAGTATCTTTTACGCTGAGAAATTTTTGAAGAGTTGTGAGCACTGAAAATTTTTGGTTGGGATTATTTTGAGCAATTTTGAATAAGCTTTTTATGTTTGTTTGTTTGTTTTTTAAATATTTCATTGCCATTCTAAAAAGAGAAATTGTAGTTGAACTATAGCAATTTTGGTGCAGAAATTGACAGGATTTTTAGGCAAAATTAAACCAAAATAGATTACTCAATGAAGCTTCCTTTACCGTTTCTACATATCTGAGTAAATATTCATAATTTTATATAATCATATTACCCTGCTTTGAGGTATTTCTTTTTCTCTATTTCTCTGCTTCTTGTTACGTTAAGTTGCTTTTTATAAACCACGAGGATAAGAAAACTGATTACAAGCATATCATCTCTGCAAAAAGGTTATAGTTTAAAAAGATTTTACTTCTTTCAATCAAGAAAATCACGTCTGATCAAAATATGACAAAATTTCCAATAGACGTGGTATAATATTTTCCATTCATCTTCCGAAATGTAATATTGCTTATTAATATAATAAGGGGAGCTATTTAAAAACTACATATAACTCTTAATAATAATATTTATCTATAAAAGTAATTGTACGTACATTTACTTAATTAACCTAATTAAAAACTCTTCTGCTCTCATACATGACGGCAGCATCTATAGTTTGCTAAGCTACAAAATAAAGTGTATCAAGTGATTAAAGGGGAAAGAGGGTTAAATTAAATAAAAAGAAGGAAAAAGGAAGCCTTGCTTTCTGGCTATTTTAAAATGCAAACAGTTAAAGCCTTAAATAAAATTTTTCATTAAGTAAGTAAAAATAATACATTTTAAATTGATGAACTAAGTACTTGCTTTTAATAAATTTCAAATTTTAACTAAAAAAAACAAACTATTTGCAATTTTTCAGCTTTCAATCCAACATTTCTTGTTTGAATTAAAAATTAAAACATACAGAAAAATATCAAAACTCTAAAAATTATGAAATTATAATTTTATTAAAAAAGAACATCAGTGCGTGAATAAATTTAAGCATTGTTAATCCACATTAAGTCAAATTATTATTCCTGCAATGCTGTAAACTCTTGTCCAATGACAGCAAGCCTTGGAACGCATAAATGGATTCACACATCATCATTTATGAGTTCTCTATGCACCCCACAATTTTGTACAATTAACAGAAAGGGGAGGTGAATATACATAATAATTGCCCCCATAATGCCTCATATATATATATATATATATAATATAAAATAAGAGAGAGACAGAAAGAGCGAGAGAGATTTAAACTTGCTTTCGAAAGCTGAAAGAGAGCATTTAAATATCCAAACTTTCCTCAAATTTGAAGAAACAGACTATAAAATTTATTTATTTTTTCTTTTGGGAAGAGAAATTATTATTCAGAGAGATGAGATTAAACTAATGTAAGCTTCAATCAGCCAGACACTTGTACGGCTGAGGAGAATAAATCGTTTGTCTTTCGAAATGCATTCAACTATCTACCTTGAAACAGCTACTGAAATTTAAGTATTTTTAAAGCAGTCCGAAACTACTTTATTTCTTTTCTTGTGCATTATTTTTAATCTGATAGATTCTGAAAAGAAATAAAAAAATCATTACCTGTATTCTGTCTTCTGGCAGATCTGTTTTCAGAGATAGCATTTCTCTTGCGTAGACGTCCGGGTAATGAGCGTCTTTGAAAGCCTTCTCGAGTTCTTCCAGTTGGTAACTGGTGAATATAGTCCTGAAATTATACATATATTTCTCTTCAGAAAACACGATTTAATGTTTCATACAGTTTAATCTCAATACTCTTTTATTATGATATTTATCTATGGAGTCTAAGCTTTGCAAACTAGTATTTCAGACATCATGCCCACTTGAACAAATACGCATAATCAGGGAATATTAGACTATGCCTTATTCATTGAAGTAAAAACAATAAATTTCTATATAAGAATGCTGTTATTTAAATTTCTTTTCTTAGGATGATTTTACTATGATAAATACTTACTGTTTAGTATAATCATTGAAATTATTTAAGTTAGCTTTTGTATGGAAAGTTAGATATAGTTATACGTTGTATCTTGCAAACTCTTCTCTTAATCGCAAGTTAAATGCGTATACCCACACATCATTCTGGTATACTCAGAGATGCAAAGAAATATTTGTATCATTTTATGCTGGTTTCTATATCAGTAAATTGAGCTCAAGGAATTCTGAATTTTTGTGTACAATGTATACAAATGTGTAATGTACCATGTATAAATACAATGAGCAAATCTTTCTCAATAGAAAGGATACTCAACTTTGATTCCTTTTAATTTATGTTTCTCATTGCGGGAAAATTTAGCTTGGAATAACCTCACGATTACGCTGCATGTTAGTACTTTGATAGGTTTTAGGTGTTAAACTGGAATCTGAAGAATTAGATTGTACTTTTTTTTCCAGACGTTATTAATTTCATTATACAAAAAAAATACTTTTTTGCCAAAATAGAAAATATCGATATTTCTTGCGTCATAACATGTGTAAAAAGGAGTTTTTTTATAGTTTGCAAAGTTACTTTTATTTTGTATTAACCAGGTTATTTACAATTTCAGCCCTTACTATAATTTCTCCTTTCAGTTTCCTCATCAGAAATGTAAGTGAGTTAGAGAGTATTTAAGCTGAGGTTTCTGGATTGCAAGACAGAGCTTGTTTCTGCCTCTCGAAACTTGAAGCCATCTCTGTTAAGTTTGTAATTAGTTGATTTTGCGTTATTTGTTGACATTTAAATTGATACAATGGTTAGATTTTTTTTTTTTTTAACCAGCTTAGATTCTCTTCTTCAGGTTGAGTCTGTCAGGTATCAGGCACTTGCTACCTAGCATTTTATGCAAAACGCACCAAACACAATGCTTCCTAAGTCCGTTTGTTTGGGTCACCCACTAAAGTCCGACATCCCCTTAATAGAGCTCAGGTGTAACTCTTTACTATTGAGAATACCTATAGTAGTCAAGCGAGTGTGGGCAAGAGCATAATACTCATATATAATATGGTGTGCTGTTTCCTCGTTCTTACAGCATTTCCTCCATATAGGGTCTTGTTGAAAAGGTCCCATAGCATGAAGGCGTTTTCTGAAATAATAATGCTCCGTGATGAAGCCCACTGTTATTTGTATCTTCAGTCTTGGACACCTAAGAATTTCAGAAGCAATATAAGCAGACAGCTTAGATTTAAATATAATTGTGCAGTCCTTAGATGACTAGTCCATGTTTTAAATTTTAATTGACTATTACTTTAGTTTCATCGCCCAAGTGGCAGTTGATTTTAAGCACAAGTTTGCATTTATGTTTAAAGTTTGCATTTCTGCATTTATGTTTGAAAAAACTGAAGAAACTTGAAAAGGTTGTTTTAAACCTTTTCTAGTTTCTTCAGTTTTTTCAAGTTTCTTCAGACGCAGTGATAATTCGCTCAACATCTGTTTTTGAGTTAGATCTAGTTTGTGCTTCCAAGCACTAAAACTCTATAAGTTGATTGATTTAAAAAAAAAAAAAAAAAAAAAAAAAAAAAGCTAATCCTGGATAAAAAGTCCCAATGTAAATAGTTTTCCCTTATATTAAGTATAATAAAAATAATTCATAAGGTATACACTAACTTTTCTCAGATATGAAGTTCCTGCTTGTTAAGCTTTCCAAATTATAAATTTAATCCCCTGGTACCAAGAATATACAGGGTGATTATAATTAAAGTTCGATTTCAAAACGCTCTAACTTTAAAACTACCGGTCAGAATGACTTGATATTTTACCAGAACAATTCTGAGGCAATGAAATTTTGTTTGGTGAAGAAAAAAATATTTCTAAAATGTGCCGATAGAGGGCGCTCTCAGGGGTAAGGCCTAATTGCTAACACAGGAATGTTATTAGCCAAAAGGAAGTAATAGATAGAGGGGTTTATGACAGGTGAAAAGACAGTCACAGCAAACAGTTTAACGAATACGTGTGTACAGCGAAAACAATAATAGTGACAAGAGAAAAAAGAGGAGCTTTGTGAAACTAACACCTTACGCATAAGTTGTTCGATATAGCCTCCGCCTTGTTTCCCTACTAATTGGAAGCGCAAAACAGCCTGTTCCACAAGAGTTCGGAGGGTCTCTGTGCTGATGCTATGAATGTGGTCGTGATACTTGCCTTCAAGTCGGCTCTAGATTCTCAATCCACCCACTGTAAATAACATTCTTCAAAGAAAAAAAAATCACACGGGTTTAGTCGGGCGCACCTGGCAGCCACCTAGTTGGAAAATGGCAACGTATGATTTTATGAGTGATCAGCAGCTACTTCACACAAGTAGCAATGTCCGGTGGAGAGCCATCTTGCATGAATATTGCGCGATCCACACATTGACGCTGCTGAATTGCCGGAAAGACATGGTTAAGCAAAAATGCTTCATACTGCTTGACAAAACAGTAGAGCTAACGGGACTCGCAGGTGTGATCTCGAAGAAGAACGAAGCGATGACAAACGCTGCCATTATTTCACAACACACATTGACCTTTTTAGACTGAAAAGGTAATGGCTGTAGCGGGAACGGATTCTCGATCGCTGATACCCTACAATTTTGAGTATTTACATAACCTTGCAAATGGAATTGGGCTTCGCTAGACCACGGAATGTTCTCTAGCCATCCGTTGTCTACTTCTATCCTGGCAAGAAATCATTGTGCAAACGATTCACGTATTTCTTGGTCAGCAAGTAGCAATTTCTGCACACGAGTTATCTTGCGTGGATAACGGTGCAAAATGTTCCATAGGACATTACGCACCTTGCTGATAGGTATATCCAACATTCGTCCAATTTTATCGTACACTGCTGATTCCTGCATCACTATTCGTCTATTCCTGTAACGTTGTGGCCACATATTCCACTGCCGCCGTCGTAACTGGTTTTCGCCCTTTACCTCGTTTCACGTCAAATAAACCGGTCTCTTCGAATTTATCTATCATTTTCTACAGGCCGTAAGTGGTCATAGGGCCGGATTTTATGCCTTTTAATGTCTGAACTTCCTGATAGCTGTTAACGCAGAGTCACCGTTCTGATGGAAAAGCTTCACGAATAGAGCGCGATCCTCCTTTGTCAGTCATGATGAAACATTCAAGCAAAGCATTACGTGTTCCGCTAGTGTTCTGCATTTTTATCACAGCTATGTCTGTGGTGCGTATGTAGTGTCTTAGGAATGTGCATACCTCCACAACAATCATCTGAGCCCTGACAACGCCATCTATCGGCACATTTTGGAACTAGTTTTTTTCCTTCACCAAACAAAATTCCATTGCCTCACGATTCTTCTAGTAAAATATCAAGTCATTCTGTCCAGTAGGTTTTAAAGTTAGAGCGTTTGTAAATTGCAGCTTTAATTATAATCATCCTGTATATTGTTATAAAATCTTGTCAAGTTAGTAAAGTTTTAAAAATATATTCAAACATTTTATTTTAAAAGCACTTTTTCTCTCGAAGACGAAAAATATTTTTTAAAATTTAAATCAATTCACTGAGCTCATAATGTCTGACTATCGAGTTATCGATATATATCATAATATGATAGTCTCTGTTCTCGAGATCGGAGGACAAAAATGCTGAAAGATTTCACTTGTTATCCCAACTGATATAATTATTTTCAATATTTCCCCCCAGTCCCCCTATCATTTTTCTTTATTTTTGTATTCAAATAGTGCATTTAAGCATTATGTAAAATTGAAAATATTTTATTTCAGTGCAATTTAAAAGTAATGTAAGTTTAAGGTTTATTATATTGAATAATTATTGCATTCGTTATCACTTCCTTGTACGAAGTAAAAAGGAAGTATTGTAATTGCGAAAAGTTTTAGGCAGCATATTTCAACGAAAATATCCATTTTGACCGCTATCGAATGCAATTTAACGATGTTTTTGCGTGACATCTGTATGTATGGACAGAATAAAATACTCTTTTCCTTCAAAAAAATTATAAAACTGTAAAATTATTTCTGAAGAGAATTTTTCGTGGAGTTTGTACAAACGTATGTACGTACGTGCGTACGTACGTATCTCGCATAACTCAAAAACGAGTAGCCTCAGAACGTTGAAATTTTGTATATAGGACTGCTATAACATGTAGATGTGCACCTCGTATTTTGGTTGCAATCGTCCGCACCAAACGTATATAAATATATTTATATATATATCCACTCTGTTACCCGGCTCAGTTATCTCACTTTTACTTTAACTAGTTTTACTAGTTACTTTTTTTGCTTTAAAAATTATTGTATTATGTTGTTTTTATCTTCCGGTTAAGGTTTTTTATGCCTTTCGTAAATCTGTATGCAATGTTTTTAGAATTATCAACAATTTTAAAGTTGTTTAAGTGCTGCTAAGCCTTTTTTTTTTATGGCGGCCATTGATTGTTTACATTTGAAACAGAATAGTGGATTTGTTGCCAATCTAGAGAAACTTAGCTTCGAAACAACAAAGATAAACTCCTTCATTTATTATTGCGAATTAATCATGCTTAATCCTTTCTGGAATTTTTTCGAGGAAATAAGTGTTTATGATTACTTCGTAATTTTTAATATAGATATTTTGAGTTTTTATGTATTTTTGCCTTCTCGCGAAGTGAGAACTGAATTAATTGAATGAGAAATACTCAATCGTCTGTGAAAAACTTTTTCTTTTTTGTTTTATTTGCTTAATTTCTTTTATACATCATTCTAGCTTTATTATTTATT